TAACACTTTTCTTTCCCAGCTCTCAGTGAATGTTGCAAAGGTCCTTGGTGTTAACTTCTTCAGGGAAGAAACCCAAGGCCTCGATCCATTGATGTCAATGAAGCTATGCTGAATTATATCTACTGAGCAGCTGACCAGAGGCCATCTTGTTTCCCTTTTTATTTTCTGTATAGGACTGTTACATCCTTTTTATTTTCTGTATAGATTCTGGGTATAAGTAGTAAGCAGTGGGGCAGAGATGGTAGGAGACTGTTTGCTGCTCTATACAACTCTGTACCTACTGGCCCAGTTGAAAATATTACTTTGATTTTTTTTCCTTTCACTTTTACTGATGTACTGAAGTTTAAAGAGTAACTTTGCTGAAATCAATAGAGATCCCTTCATTTAAAGTTACTGTAAATAAGGGTAGAAACATACCTATTTTGTTGACCAATTCTTAGCTGAGGAATCCTAAGACTTTGTACCTATTTAATAGCCATTATAAAATTATACAGATACTGTTTGAGATCTGCAAAGAAGGAAAACCAACCTCATTCTTCATAGGTCGTTCACAATTGCAAATCAGTTGTTATAGCATATCTAGGCAGTCGTGCCTTGTCTGGGTGTGCCACTGAGGTTTAGGTGTCCTGTCTTCCAAGGGCCAGCTCCTAGGGCCTGACAGCTTGACCTGACTGGCTCATATTAGCAGGACACACTGGACACCCTCCGTCTCACTTGATCTTTAAATAAGGAGGGAGGATCCTTGATGTTGCTCTCCTGCTTCTGCGAGCATCACGTTGTTCCTTTGGAGCTCCACCTTGCCTTACACCCTGCCCTTATGCCAACGTGGTCTTATAGTCAAATCAGGTAGAGTGCCGTCAGGTGATGGGATAGCCCCATCCTCATAATTGGACTGCTTTTTTTCTCAAAAATTGGTAGCTCGCTTTGACACAGTTCAGTGGGCTTTCACCGTCCTGCCCGTCACGCCTAGTGCCAAAAATCCTGACTTTTCCCCATTGGGCATCACTTTGGCCTGCCCGCTGATGCATTTCCCAGGGCCCACACCAATGGAATGGACTCACAGTTCTTTCCCTTGATTCACCCAGAGAAGTGTTTGTTGTCTCAATACCTCCACTTTATGCCAACAATTCCCCAGTGCTATGCAGCTGGTCCCATGATGGTGAGGCTTCTTTGAGCCTCCAATCGGAATAGCAAATATTGCTCTTCCCCTCTCGCCCCTGCCAGAGCACGCTCAAGTTGGAGCCAGCTCTCCTGCAGCCATGCTTCCTGGTCTCTACTCTTCTATCTTTAGTTGCCATGGGGCACATCTTTATGATGTGCTCAGCTGTGGCCCAACCAATTTGGATCCGGCACAAGCTAATAAAGTGCGGCAGCTGTGGTGCCAGGGATTCCCCAAAATGCTCTTCCTTCCTCTGTGGTATCTATGACCCTGAACCTTCATTTTGATAATTAAACAACCCAAACGCCTTTCAATAATAGACTTCCTGTTTCCCTTCATTCTCACAGTCTTTCTTTGCATCTCTTCCAGATTGAGTTTTGAATGCAGGTTACCCAAATTGCATCTGGTATACCATATGCGGTCTAACCAGTAGCTGGTAGAATGGCATTCGGCAAGTCTCTTTGTACATACTTCTGATACATCCAAAGATTACAGTTGACTTTTTATGGCTGCATCCTACTGGGGGTTCATAGTCATCTTGATCGTCTATTATTCAAAGGTCATTCTCTGCCTCACCGGTTTCCAACTGATGAGCTCTCTGCTTATAGCTGACATTTTAGTAGTTTCCAAGTGCATGACCTTGCATTTTTGTACTATTGAATTTCATCCTGTTTCTGTTACCCCAGTCCTATCATCTGGTTCTTTCTGTATGACAACCTGATCCTCCAGTGTATTTATGATGGCTCCCATTATCAGCACATTTGTAAGCTTTGCCTTAATGTTGTTTCATGAAAATATTCAGATCAGTAACAAGAATTATCTTTAAGGAACTCCAGTAGTAACCTCTCTCCAACCTGATACTTCTACTGTCACACTGCCTGCTATCTCCTGTTTTGCCAGTTCCTTATTTGCTTTACAACTTCATTAATCCTCACCTCCAACTTAACTGATAGTCCTTTATGTGGCACTGTATCAATGCTTTACTAAGGTCCAGAGAGATAAGCTGTACCGTAGTACTGTCTAGAAAAAAGCTGCCAAATAGTATGTCATGGTTTGCCTTTGGTAGATCCAGGTTGCATTTTACCCCATTTCTTTCCAGATCTTTAATTATTCTGCCCTTCAGCAATTATTCTAAAGCATATTTAGGCTGTAATGATCTGAATCATTTCCCCTGCTTATTAGAGCTACAACATCTACTATTGTCCATTCATATGGTACCACTCCCTCTTGGTAGGTTTATTCAAAATACTTGCTTACCAAATTTATGAAACCCTGGGATGGAGATTACTTGCCCTTCCTGCTTGACTTGAGTGCATGAAGTTTTCTAAGTTTTGCTTCCACCTGGTGATAGTTATTTCCACTTCCAGAACCACATTCCTATTCTCCATCTTGCATTTGCTACCCACTCTGCTCAGCATCATGCTTCTTATTGAAAATTGAAGAAAGATATTTAGTTCTTGGTTCATATCTAGATTATACTGAATTACTACCCAATCCTCACAGCAAAATGGCCCCACTTTTCCTGTTTTCATTTATTTATATGCCTGAGGAGTCTTTTGGTATTTGTTTTAATACCCTTTGTGAGTCCTAACTCAGCTTGACTTTTGGCAATTCTTCCTTTATATCTATATTTCTTGACCACCAAGATAGTTTGCTTTGCTGATCATTACTTTGTTACTTAGCTTTAACTTAGCATTTCATTTTTAAAGCACTGTCTAGAGTAGGAGTTTGCCTTCGTAAACATTATGTGCCCTCTGTCCAAGACATTTACATTTAAGCCAACAAGTCTGGGTATATATATGAATATTTGTACACTTCAAAAGGGAAGAAGGTGGGATTCAAACCCACCTGAAACTTAATTAGCTCTCTGGCCAATTTAGGACATTGGATGGTGCTGACTTTCCTTGCTCCTTAGTAAGAGCAGCCTGAAATCCTTAGAGTCAAAATGAAGTGGCTCTTAATTTAACAGATAACATTTGTTCTTTGTGCATCATGTTCTGGGCTGTTAATTTTCTTTGATTTTTATTTGTTTTCATTAGCATTAGATTTCTCAAAGGGGCACATCTGCAAGTGCAAACTATCGCAGAGTCCACATGATTTTATTGCCATAACCCATTTCCTCACCCTGTCCCATCACATAATTCATTACTGTCCTGCTTCATGGCAGCTCTGAAATTAACCCTCAGTCCTACAGACAGACATGCAGGTTACTCAGGGGTCTGGGCAAGCACACAGGGGTCTGGGCAAGCATATTCAATTGAATAATCAGGGCCATACTCTTTGACCTTCTGGCAGCACAGTTGGTGAGATTGATTCCTACAAGCTGGGTGAAATTTTGCCCCATGCAAAGAGGCATTCTGAATCCTGTGTATAAGGTGAGTTCTCAAAACGGGGGTTAGAGGGCATGTCCATCTGAAATGAACGGGAGATATATTAATAGCTTTGGCCAAGCAAGAGGAGAATAGGGCTCCATATTTTATTTGCGCTGTAAAGCATCTGGTGTACTTACTGGCTCTGTGGAACAATGGGTTTACTTGATCTTATCTTCCTATGTGGATGAGTAAGATCAAAAGCATGGAGCCAGTTACATGCAGAACATAATTCCCTGTTTTACACGCCACAGACAGTTCCAAGCCAAACAAGCCTCACCCCTTTCTTTGCCTTTTGGGACAATGCAGTTATGGCACTTGCATATGTATAAGCCAATTCATGCCAGAAAAAAAATTATTGTCCAAGATTTATTGCTGGGACGAAAAAAATTAAGCGGTATTTCCTGTTGACAACATAAAAATCCTTTTTCAATACAGAATAGTAATGGGATTCCTGTAAACCAAATCTGCCTGTGCAGTTGGGGGGTTTAGTTTGCAAGATGCAGCTTGGTATTAAGTTGGGGGGGTCTCAAAGGAACCAATAGCAGCTGGGTGCTTAATTCCTTTAGGCAGTTTTCAAAATGCCAGTGTGGATAGTTTTATAGATGCTAGTGGACTGAAAAGAGAGTTTGTGAGGGGACTTTGTTCAGTTAAGGGTTTCTTGCTGTTAGGACCTGATCCATCTACTTAGACTGTAAACTCTTTGCAGTAGGGACTTCTTGTTTCATGACACTGTACAGCTGGTGTTCATGATTTGCATCCCTGTTCACTGCTGTAGTACAAATAATAATAAGTAATGGTTGGCATCAGTGGGAGTTGCCACCAGATGCTTAGTGCGACACGGATTGGTTGTGGAATGAGGGGTTGCAAGCAGCGGGCGATTCTCTGCCATGTTCCACACTGTGCGGTGTTTCTCCTTTTCACGCTTGATCCTAGCAGAGATGATGGCTGGACATGCCAGTCTCTACTGTAGAGAGAAAGGGAGCCTTTCTGCTAGCTTGTAATGTACAATACAGAGTTTCTGCAAGCCGATGGGAAGTTGCCTTGTTGGTTAAATCTCTTTTCAGTGTTTCTTATGTTTTCCTGCATATATTAAAAAAAACAAAACACAAACCTTTAAAAATATTGACCTGGAATTAGGCACAACTGCAACCCTGAGTTAGGCAAGTCATTTTCCGTATACCAGGCAAACATTTTAAACAACACCCCTAACCTTCTTGGTTAATGTTTTGCTCCTTATAAAGCATCTGGCTTAAAATATGGGCATATTTTATTTACATTAACAACCAGCATGGTTGTGGTCACTGACTTGTGCAAGAGAGCTTATTACTTAAATAATAGCCCTTAAGCATTTTTTGATCTTGGATTAAAAGTTTGCATGGAGACAGAGTTACTTGTGACATTGGATATTATAGCTGTTTTCATTCATTAACAAGATGATAATGTTGGGTTTATATCTTATTTTTTTCTAGAATGTATGAACTGCACAAGACTTGCTGACATGACTGAAAAACTAAACACTCTGGAAGCCAAGGTCAGTGCATTATTGCTTTCCTTTTGGGAAAATATTCAGTGAATTTAGTCCTTGTGAACAGGGTTCAATTGAGCATCCCAGACAGAGGAAATCTGATACAGTTGAATTGTCAGTCAGGTACAGCATGACAAATAGCAGTGCAAACTTCATCAAGCTGCCCAGCTCCTATAATGCAGCACAGATCCATAACGATCATCTCTTCCATGGGAGGGTTGTTTAGCTTCTCTGCCCCCACAAATAAATACGAATTCCCCTGGTACTGGTGGTGCTTGTTGTTTGTTGTGGTAAGGTTGGTACAAAAGCATCCAAAGATTTGCTAATGTATTTGGATGCTCTGTGATACCATTAAGACAAATACCTTAAGGTCAACTCGCAGCTGCACTACTGTGTATGCCTAAAGGATGGGTGGTTAATGAGAGCAGGAACTGTATCCCTGCTCCCACTTGATCTTGAGGAAAAAAACTGTAGAGAAGAGCAACCAAAGACTCCAGCTGGTGCAAGCTGCTGCAGAGCAGCCAGAACAGGCAGGGTAGAATGAGGACCACCCAGGGATGCTTCTCCTTCCTACCAGTTTTCCTGTGTACCCAAAACTATACAGAAGAACCCTATCTGGAAAAGACTCAGGGGTGACTCCACTTCCTTCTCCTACGCTAGAGACGTTTGGGCATTCAGAGGACTTGCTGGAGTTTGACCAGACTTTTTTCTTTTTTTCATTAACTGCTTGATCCAAACCTCTCTTTCACCTTCTCCCACAGTCCCTTCACTTCAGCTTCACTCCACGTTGATCCTCTGAACTCTCATCTCCATTCTTCCTTACCTTCCATTTTCTTTCCATTTAATTTATCCCCTCCTAAATAACATACCTTACACCGTCCCTTCCCCAAAATCACAACCACAGAACTAATATGTTGTTTGCTGCCAATGCGTTATGTGCTTTGCTTGTGTTACAGCCTGTTCTCCACCCTACAGGTGTCTTATCTGTTTAGATATAAACTCCCCGAGACAAGGGGACTTTTTATACAGTGCCTAGAACTGCTGCATGCTTGACTGGCTCTTAGGGCTACCATTATTAGAAACCTATTGCTCCTGATCAGGAAGTGTCCATCTGAACCACCGTAGGTTTTATTCGTCTCAGTAAAGAACTAGAGGACAAATATTTGCAGTGTGAAATTCTACTTGATTCAGCTGGGTAATATGGGCTTTACAAATCAGAAGTGAATTCAGACCCTGGCAAACAGTTTCTGAATATGATCTCTCTCTTGTCAGTGGCAAACACCTAGAAGAAACTCCATCCACAAAGAGTACAAAATGCAAAAACAGCTTTTATTTTTCTTTGGCTGCAAAATCTAAATCTGAGGCAACAGAAATTAGTGAATAAAGGAGAGACATCTTCAATTAGAGACGATCATTTTGGAATGACTCCACAACAGTTCTTCATTTAGCCTTTCAATTATTTTTACTGTTTCTGTGTCCTTTATGCCATTTCCATTTCCCTAAATTCACCTCTCACTTCACTTCTTCAACAATGGCATATAGAAAAGTGTATGTGTGCTGGTTACTGATACAGGAAAGCATTTTCCCTCACATGAGTAGGCCCCACTTCTTACTGGCCTCTTTACATTTGAAGGCTCATCCAGTGGAGTCTGAACTTAAAACCAAACAGCTATCCCAGCATAATTCCTTGTCCAGACACACCCTAAGTCGTCCATTTTATTTGCTGATCTAACTGGATGTAAACAGCCTTCACCTGGATCATTGACATCTAGTTGTCCAAATCAACTTTGTTCATGCACGGATGTTCACATACTTGCTATTCAATCCATGTTTATTGTTTTTCCCTTTTTTAATATTAGGGGGATTAGCTTTGAACACCTTTGCTGGGAAGAATTTAATATTATGTTTCTGTAAATCATTTTAATAGTCACCTACCATGCATCAGAAAAATCACTCCAGTCTAGCAACAAAGGAGTGAAGTCAGTCAGTTCCCTTTGATCTCTGGTTCCTTCAGTGACAGCCCAGTCCTATTTGTTAGATGTAGTACTTGGGTCTCTCTCAATGTTTGTGCTTCTGCTATTATTCATTAGCTGATGGTTATCACTGACATAAGAATTTAGGGAGACTCCTTTTGTGGGGGAGGGTGGAATGCCTGGGGATTTTGCAGCCAACACATTATATTCTTATAATTTGGGAATTGTGTTTTAAGTTGAAATGGCGTGAGCAATGCTCTCTGGAACCTCCTCAGAGACATTCAGGGTTATGTTTCACCATGCGAAAACAATAAAAGCATTTGGAGGGGGATGAATTTCTCCAGTGAAAACAACTGTTGTGGTGTTGGAAAAAACTATTTTCTCTTCAGGCAAACATGAGCTGAATTTTTATTAAACGCAAAGACCTGTCAAGCAGTTAAGAGCAGGTGTTAAAAAGGACATGATGGTCTTGCATCTGACCACTGTGAAGGCAATGAAAACTCCAGGGAGGGCAAACTAAGGAAACTTTTGACTTCTATGGGCTTGGGATCAAGCTGTTGGTGGTTAGTTGCAAGCAACACTTCCTCCTCTCACTTGCATGAGTTTCTGTACCTTGCTCCCCAGAAAATAACAATCTGGGATTTACGCATGATTCTTGGGGCCAAAGTAGCTGAGCAGTGGTATCTTACACTATTACGCATGCTTTGCATGACAGCACATGAGCCCAATGCTGTTGTCCATAACACCATTGTAAACCATGCCTGAGGCTGTCCAAGAAGTTGAAAGCCTGACTCTGAGGCTCCATTGGCAGTTCCAGGTCCAGGATGTGACTTCACTGAACTCAATATTTTTATGCAAGCTTGAAACTGGCTTATACCAGAGGAGATTCTTTGGGCAGTGTGTTCATATATAACAACACTAGCACTATAAAACCTCTAGGGCTAGGGACAGGCATTACACATCAACAGGTTTAAGTGATCAGAAACTAGTTTAAACCCATAATAGCACAGGAATTCAGTGCACATAAACAAGTTTGAAAATGGCCAAAAACCGGTTTGAGATAAACCTGGTTGAATGTAGTATCAGTCTCAACTGATTTGACTCAACGGTTTATGCAATGTCTGTCTGAGAGAAAATAAACCAGACTCCCCCAGCATCCTGGCATGCTCTCTGGGCTGGGCAGAGCTCTGGTCTCTGCTACAGTGAGCTGGGCTGACCTCTCCCCTCTGCTCTCTAACCAAAGTAGGGGCAGGGTGTGGCCTGGCCTGCCATGGCCCCCGAGGCAAATCCCTCCCTCCTTCCTCTCCCCCCCCACTGGAAAACCCTGGGAACCGCAGCTGGGGCTTGCCAGCCGCAGCCACACCTCCACAGCTTGCCTGCAGCCAGGCAGGGATGCAGTTAATTCCTTCCTCTGTCCCCTCTCTCCCCCAGAGGCCCCGGGGGTTTGGCTGCAGTCTCTGCGATTTACCTGCAGCCAGGCAGGGAGGGGATTAATTCTACAGCATGTCCTGGAGCAGGGGGAGAGAGGGAAGCTAGTCCCCTGTGTGCAGATCCAAGCCCTGCACCTCTGAGCCCAGAGCTAAGACCTGCAGGACGAGACTGAGAGGTGGGAAGTGTTGGCAAAGACCTGACAATCATCACACATGCTGGAGATGTAGTTAAGGGAAGTTGCAGACAGCTTCCCTAAAGAATGCAGAGAGCTACATTTACATTATAAAGCAGAACATGTAAAAGGTGGGAATACCTAAGCAAAGCCTTTCTGAATGTCTGGCTGTAAGGAAAGCTTTGCTGTCAGGATTAGTAAAACTAATTTTGTCTTCCTGGTTTACAGTTTGACTTAGACTAAGTTTTACATGCTGTGTTTTACTGAGCTGTATCTTAGCTTAGGCAAAGATTTTTGGTAGTTCCCTGTTGTATGCTTTGCAAATTGCTGTGTTCAATACATGCTTGCTTCAGAGAAATGACTTTTTCCCCATCCTCACTCCTCAGTCTGGCAGCAGCTGCTCCTTCCCGCCCGCCTGTAGTGGCTAGCATCCCGTGTGTTGTGCTAGCCCTGGCTGGTGCCTTGGCCACGCCCCCTCTGCTCCAGCAGGGAGGAGTGAGAGCCTTGGAGGAGGTGTCTCTTCCCTCCCCTTTGGCAGTGGCTGGCAGGCATGCTCTAGCACCCCCCCAGCTTCTGGCTTGAGCCACTGTAGGCATGTGGCTGCATTTTCTGGTTTAACAGAGAATGTCTGTCCGGTTATTAATCAGCTTAAGATGTGCAGCTTAGACTAACCTGCAAAGAGTGAATCAATTCAGGCTCGGGCTTTTCGAATGTCTGTCCCTAGCCCAGGTGTTCAGTAAGCACTGGATGCAGCATGATTTTGCCTCTTGGGTGAGAGTCCTTTCCACCAGAATACTTGTGCTGTTGTAGCCATAATGTGTTCATAGTCACAAAATAGTCACACTATAATGTTGGAAATCCCTTTAAACAGCTCTTGAATTTGTGCCTTGAGGCTGTGACCTGCACTGAAGTAAGATGGGATGCACAGTGCAGCCAAAGGAACATAACATGCTAACAGCTGGTGACTTTTCAGATTGTGACTAGCATAGAGGTGAATGCATGGAAAGTCCAATGCCAAGATATAGCCACTGGCCTTTTTAGAAGGTTTTTAAAAGGTCCCAATCAGCACCATCATTTCCCTTTGAGTACTGAGGTTTGGATAATGCAGAGCTATACATTATGAAATGACAGCTTCCTGCCAGAAGAACTGCATTCCTGTAATGGAGTCTTGAGACAAGCTGTGGTCTTCCAAGTCTCAAAGTAGCTGGACAGTCTATTGAATAAACAGAAAGAACAAAAGACCTGACCAGCTGGTAGAGTCTGTTTCATTTGAGGGATCGGAGAAACTTCAGTAGCACTGATTCTTGTCAACTCAGTCAGTTGATCTTGGGCATCGCATGTTTTGTCTGTGTGTGTTTTAGTGCTGCAGTATTTTGCAGTCCCAGACACTCGTAATGTTAAGCAAACTCTGTCTCTGGAGGCTTGTCTGG